CTTCCATGGGGTTCCAGCCCCAAGATCCTTCTCTCTGCTGGGTAGAAGCCAGAGGTGACACATGCTAAGGGGTGTATGTGGGGTCGCATTCACCTCCCCATCCCTGGTTTTTGCCAAGATTTGCTGGACTGCTTAGCCACGTGGTGCCACCAGACCCCTTCCTGCACAGCAGCTGCTGGAGCCAGCAAGTTGGGAGCTGAGGCACTGGCAAACAGGTGGGAGCTGCAGGGAGAACCATTAAGGGGGAGGGTTTGACTCAAGCTTTTGGGGAGAGACTGAATACCCTCCCCTTTCCCTTCCCCTCACACACTCAGGAAGTCCCAATTGTCTCTGGCAGAAGCCCTTAGAATTCTGCCAGGGTGGAAGGGCTAAGCCCCGAGCTCCCGACACACCGTGTAATAGGTGGAGAATGTAGAGGCCATGGGGGCTCCACAAGCTGCATTTTAATTGCAGTTTGGCTACCCCTGTACTATGTCATCCTAATAAAATAGCTGTTTGGGTAATTACATTCTCCTCCTCTAAATTATTTCTGCTGTTTCAGATGGAAAAATATTCTTGTGGTTAAAGCACAGGACCTGAGCCCGGAGATCTATGCTCTCTACAGCGTTTCTGGGTGGCCTCGGGCAACTTATTGACCATATGTGCCTCAGTTTCTCTATCTATAAAATGAATGCTATTACTCTACCTAACCCAGCTAATTCATTCATGTTTGTAAATCTCTGCAAGGTCTCTGGATGGAGCGTGCTGTGAAATCCAAAATCTTAACAGGGGACGCTCCTTTTCACTTCTTCTCAAAGCTGTTGTACAATGTGTTACAGAGTCAGAACCTACCAAGTCCCATCCCAAAGAGGCCCACATGTCTGTAAAGTGCTTTAATGGGACTTTAGAGATATATAAGTTAAATAGTATTTTCCTTGTTTTGTCATTAACCTTATAAAAACAATACTCTTTAGATATGTGAGTGATTATTCTTACTCTCTTGCTTGCAGCTCTCTGAAACCACAGCTGAGTCCCATCTGATGGAGAAGGAGTTGGAGGACCTGAAAAGTCACAGTCGGAGGAGGAAGTGAACAGCAGCAAGAGACGGAGTTAGGGGATGGGCAAGCAAGGAAATTTGATTTGAAATCTTCATCACGCAGGCAAGCAGGGTTCCAAAAGCTGAATCCAGACCTGGCTGGGTCATTGTATTAATTGCATATGGTGATACTCCAGACAGCTGGAAGGCAACTTCCCAATGCTTGAAATGTTAACAAACCTTCTAATAGTACTGGAGGCCATCAGCTATACTACTTCATACAGCTGCTGCATAACCATTATCTTGATGCTCTTGATAAGTTATCCTAGGATGATGCTTCATACATTATCTTGATGCTCTTGATAAGTTATCCTAGGACATGCTCTGTGGCGATGAACATCTGTTTCTGCCTAGACCACTCCTTACTTACTTTTTCCTCTGTAGATTTGGCACTCAAGACAGAGAGCTGTTGGTGGAGATATATGTTGATAATGTGTTCTCTCATCAAGTCCTGGGTGAAAGTCTTACACTGTAAACAGAGGAGAAAATATGAGTGGATGGTAGGGAAAATGGTTTTGTATATGTGCATGGTCTTTGTGTCTCTGGTTTACAGCTTCTGTATGGGTCTCCTTGCTAGTCTCTTCGATCTCACAAGCTCCAGGTTGGCCCCTCCCCTAGCTTCTGTTCTTAAACAAATAACAACCTAAACTAAAATAATCTTTCCCTTTTCAAATATTTATTATTTTTGTACAAAGCATTAACTCTGCTTCCTGCTGTTGGGAGGTGGGTTTCTTGGAATTGTTTGTTCTCCTGAGTATTTCATACATTTTTATGAAGTTAAATTAAAACAAATCACGTTTGTGAGTCGGTTACATTCTTGGTAAGATTGGGATCCGATTACAAGCATGTGTGTGTGTATAAACAGTAGTACTTAGAGGCCTTAACTGATGGCAGGACCCCAGAGTGCTGGAAACTGTACAGGCATGCAGTGAGAAACAGTCCTTACCCTGAAGAGCTTTCAGTCTGATTACATAGGACAGACAAAGGGCGGGAAATGGAGGCTCAGAGAGGTGGAATGATTCATCCAAGGTTTCACAACAGGTGGGTGGCAGATCTGGAAATAGGAAGCCTATCTCCCAGGTCAGTGCCCTATACACTACTAAACCATGGTAACATAGTAGCACCATGGCCCTTCCTCCATGGTACTACTATTGTCCACTTCCTGCTGCAGCAGAGGAGTCCAGCAAGTGGAGGAGGGCTGAGGTCCGATTTTTTCCCTTGCATACCCACTTTTCAAGGTGTCAAGCAAGGCAAGAGGCTGTGGTGGGAGGTAAGCTAAGGGCATGAGCCTTTGCAAGCCATGGGCAATGGAGAACGCATCTAGGAGTTACTGAAGGATGGGGTGAGGATAGGCAAGGGTAGGCGCTGGGCAGCAGCGGGGGAGCATGGGTGAGGAGAGGGGCTAGACTGGAGGGCAGGCAGGCGGCTGCGGGTGACGAGAGCCTTAGGGCTGCTTGCCCTGACTACGGAGGGATTTGCAGAAGTGGGCGCCGGAGGGGGATGACCGATAGAGGTCGCGCTTGCCCCCATCTCTCAGCCCTTCCCGCGTGAGGGTCCCTCGCCGGCCTTCCGGTGCCTCTCTCTCCCCTGCCGGGCCCCCGTCTCGTCTGCTCTCTTCCGGTTCCCGCGGCTCCCCCCCCACCCCCCCCATCTCTCAGCCCTTCCCGCGTGAGGGTCCCTCGCCGGCCTTCCGGTGCCTCTCTGCCCGCTGCCGGGCCCCCGTCTCGTCTGCTCTCTTCCGGTTCCGGCGCCTCCCCTCCCACCCCTTCGGGTTGCAGCCATGGCCGCCGCGTCGCCCCTGTCCCCCGAGGAGCTGCTGCTGCCCAAGGGCGGCTCTGGCAAGGCCGAGGAGCTGGAGGAGGAGCTGGAGGACGAGGACGAGGTGCCGGCTTGCGGGGGGGAGGAGGGCGGGGGGGGCG